ACGAACAAATACAAAATCAGCTAACATAAGCAATTCGTCCTCAAGGGATCGAATTAAATAATAACCGGCACACACAAATATACACATAATTATGTTCATAATAAAAAACTGAACGATCAGGGCTTCAGTGGGCATCATGGCGAGTCGCGTATCAGGCCCTTATTCCTTTCGGTGATGTTGTCCTTCTCGGGGCTTTTCTCCACCACGCACTCTGAACTCCGGATCTGCAAAAGAACTTTCTTAAAACAGTTATTTCACTAATATTTACAAAACTTATACGGATCTGCACGATAAAGTGGTTAATCAAACTTATTAAACATATAATACAGGTGTTTAAACATGATTTTAATCTAGACAGCCTTTTTGTACACTCAACTCGACGAAATCGTCGAGGAGTCGTCATCAAATTCTTCTAGGTAATGAAAACCTAACTCGTAGGCCAGTTGCCATTGTCCCGCGTCCCCCAAAATCTGAAGTTGTCGCTTATTAAGTCCAGAACGCTGTAGGAGAAATCCAAACATGTATCGCTCCTCTTGTGTTTTCTGGGGTAACACTGGACGTTCGGATTCGCGGCATCTTGTGTTTTGAACCTCAGTTGGGCATTGATGTTCCCGATCACTAGACAGTTTTGGCTCCATCAGGACACGCAGTCTTGGCAACTGACGAAGGAGACTACTCACAGGGTGATCAACCATTGGGTTAAGCATAATTCGGAGGACGGCGATGTTTTTCCGTCCATATATCTCCAGACAACTGTCTATGCTGTGGATGGTCATTGGAACAGTCCCAGGGTTCCGCAGGTGACGGTGAGGCCATGGTCGTATTCGCTGGAGTGATGTTAATCCCAGTGCACACGCTCTGGGGTTCCAGGCACAATATGAAACTCCGATGATGGCCAGCATGAGCTGTTCTGCACTGGTACGTTCTGGCCATCCGTCATGCCATGCGTGGGCCTTTTGTTCGATCAGTCCTGCAACAAGTGCTGGAATTGGAATAGGCCAGTGGACGCTAAACGTCACCATGTCGATGTCAGTGACATGTCCTCTACTCCATGAAGCTTGTCTGACCAAGAAGCTTGCCTCTTCCTGGTTCAGGAGGTCGGATCCAAGCTCCACGACCAGACGTCCCAACCACACAGCCAGAGTTTCCTCAGGTTGGATTCTGGATTCTCTACACAAACCCTGCAGTTCGGTTCTGGAGCGAGCGTAATAAGTAGTAGCATGAACTGCACTCTGCGGTTTGATGACTCGGCTGGTTGATGCTATAGGCTGATTGGTTTCTTTGAGTTGTTGCTGTTGTTACAGACAGGAGGGGCGGATGCACTCCTCTGCTTGACTCTTTTTCATCGGCAGGAGGGCATGGTCGGCAGACGCGGCGCTGGGCAGGGTTGCCGGAGACGACGCTGCGTTGATGGGCGGAGTCACCGACCGAACTCTCGCGGGTTCCTCCGAAGCTCCACCCCTCTTTTCCGGCTCCCCCACGCAGTCTCCCTCCCGCTCGGCACCATCTTGGGCCGGTGTTCTAAGATCCCCTCTCTCAGCCGCTTCTCCGACCGCTTGAACGGCCACATGCAGCTGGGCTTTTAAATTTAGATTTTTATTCATAAAATCAGTTAAAGTTGCACTCAATTCTCCCCCCTTGTCGTACCATAGGGCCACCCTCTCATCCGCGGTGCGTTCCTCTGTCTCCAGACCTTCGCAGAGCTCGCGACCCCTCAATCTAGACATTACCATGCAAGGGGAGAACCAGCCAATTGGCTCCGGGTCCTCACTCTCCCGAGCATATCGCCAGCAACGAGCACACTCCTGGGTGAAAGTTGGGTTCGGTTCGCCCGCCGGGGTG